CCCCCGCCCCGGGGCCTGCGCCCGGGGAAAGCCCGGCCGAGCCCCGCACGCCGCCCGCTCCCCGCCCCGGCGCCGCGCCAGCATCCGAGCATCCGCATCCGAGGATCCGCACCGCTCGCCGCGGCCCCATTGGCCGGCGCCGGCGCCGCAGGGCCGCCTCGCAGCCAATCGCGGCCGAGGGGTGGAGCTGCAGCCTGCGCCGGATGCTTGGAGCCGCTGCTGCCCGGAGCGTCTCCCGGCCGGAGCTGTCCCCCAGCACCCTGCCCCTCGGCGGCCGCACGGACACTGCGAGCAGGGGCGGCCATGCAGGAGCCGCTGCTGGGAGCCGAGGGCCCGGACTACGACACTTTCCCTGAGAAGTCCCCGTCGCCGGGGGAGAGGACGCGGGTCGGGTGAGAGTCGCGGGGCATGGGGGCTGCGGGTAGGGGCCGGCTTCCGCCTTGGGCCTTCTCTGACCTTCCGTGAGTGTCCGGCCAAGGTCCGTCTGGCCCCCTTCTGCCCCAGACACCCTAGTCCTATTTAAGGAGCTGTCCCCCCCCGCCCCCGTAGCAGGCCCAGCCCCCAGCTGGCTCAGCCAGGATGAGGGAAGCCCAGAGAGGGCAAGGGACTTGCTTGCCTAAGGTCACACAGCAAGCTTCAGAGGCAAAGCTGCCACCAGAAGGCAAGCCTCCTCTGCTAGAGAGAAGTACCCCTTTAGCCGTGTCTCAGCCACGGGGGTGGGCTTTGGGGACTGTCCTGGGGATTCTCCAAGCGAGATGACACAAGCTCTGGGAGCCCTCAGCCCGGCCCAACCCAGCGCTGCCCTCTGAGCCCGAGCCTGCAGCCACTGGGCTCAGGACCCGCAGCCTTTCAGCCGCGTGGGGCGGAGGAGCTCCAAGACCTCATCACTCTGCCTGCCCCCCCCACCCCCCCACCAGGGCCCCACAGAACAAGAGGGTGTTCCTGGCCACCTTTGCCGCCGTGCTGGGCAATTTCAGCTTCGGGTATGCCCTGGTCTACACGTCCCCTGTCATCCCAGCCCTGGAGCACTCCTTGGACCCGGACCTGAGTCTGACCAAAACCCAGGCATCCTGGTTTGGGGTAAGAGCCCTGCTCTGAGCTGGAGACAGGCACAGCAGGGTGAGTGGGGACCCACGAAGCTAGGGCCCCCCTGTAGGGCCCTGGTCTTCCTCCTCCCTGATCACCAGGCTGTAGGAGGGGCAGTGGGTGAGTGAGGTCAGATGATTGCTCTGAAATAGAAGGAGGAAGTGATTGCTAAGAAGGCGTGGGAAGGAGACAGTGGAGAGGTGGTCCTCCGGGTCTCCCCCCTACCCCAGACCCACACACACACACCCACAGCCGGACTGCCACAGCAGAGCGGGCACCTCCCTGGGTGATGGGGGGCAGGGGCCTCAGATGCCAATGGGAAGAGGCACTGGCTGGGCCAAGGAGGGCCCCAGGATTGAGTGTGGGCACATGGGAAGGAAGAGTGGGGGCCCTGAGAGTCCCAGGATGCTAGAATTACCATCTCAGTAGCCTCCAATTTACAATTACAACAGAGCAGCTAAGATGATACCCCGTATGTACTGAGCACTCAGTATGTGCCAGGGGTGTGCTGCTGGGTGCTGTACATGAGAGCTAGGTGACCCCAGGGCCAACCCTATGAGGTGGGTACTCCTGCTGTCCCCATAAAACAGCTAAAGAAACTGAGGCCCGGATAGGCTAAGCAATGTGCCCAAGTCACTGACTGGATCCTACTCACTACACTCTACAGGGAATCCAAGAACCCCCAAATCTAAAAATGCCAGCGTGGTCACAGAATTCTCCTGTCTGCCATAATAGTATTAGACATTTAAACATTCAGCTGAGCTGAACCACTATGGAGAGGTGGCCCCACATTACTCCCCAGAGCAGGACTCCCCATGGTGGCATCTCTAATAAAGGGTTGTGCACATGATGCTTGCACACCTCTGGAGACAGGAGGCTCACTATCAGTCGGGGCCTGGATCCTGTAGGCAGGGATCTCACGATCAGCCTGGAAAAGCAGCTGCCCCTAGGCTCTGATGGGGGCTAGGAGTGTTGGGTGCCCACACATGTCTGCCCTCCACCCTTTTCCTGCAGTCCGTATTCACCTTGGGTGCGGCAGCTGGAGGCCTCAGTGCTATGGTTCTCAACGACCTCCTGGGCCGGAAGCTCAGCATCATGTTCTCAGCTGTACCATCAGCAGCTGGCTACGCGCTCATGGCAGGTGCCCACGGCTTCTGGATGCTGCTGCTGGGGAGGACGCTGACAGGCTTTGCTGGGGGGCTCACAGCTGCCTGCATCCCGGTAAGGCCAGGACTGCCCACCCCTGTCCCCTCACTGCCTCAGCACTGTGCTAACCACCATGTGGCTAAAGTCTCCCAGCCCCGCCCCCCTGCCGAGCCCCCCAGTCAATGGAGATATGTTTGCCGGGGAACCTTAGCTCACCTGCAGCAGGGCAGCTAATCTGTCCCCACATCCCCAGCCAACCTCACTTTGGACTCCTTCAAGTTCCCACCCCACTTCCCGACAGTCAGGCACATTGCTCAACTGAAGAAAACCTGCGTTGAGCAACAGGGCAAGGGGAAGTCTCTCCCCTCCCTAGGACTCCTCCCACAGCTGCACACACACCCTGTCAGGGGCCAGGGCAAGGCCATCAGGGGGCTAGGGATGCCCGGGAGGAGCCGAGTCTGGGTGCCTGTGGGCCTCCCACCTCCCCACCTCATGCTGCCCGTTTCAAAGGTGAGTGCGTCCGCCCACTTGATGGTTAGGGAAATGGACGGAGTCACAATCGGGACAAGAGCCCCATCAGAAGCCCCCACTTGTCACTTTCCAAGGTTCACCGGGGCCACCTCTCCCATCTTAGCCAGGCCCAGGACCCTAAATCTCACCAAAGGCCCTGGGTGGGCTGATGTGTCTTGCAGGTGTACGTGTCTGAGATTGCTACCCCAAGTGTTCGTGGGGCCCTCGGGGCCACGCCCCAGCTCATGGCAGTGTTCGGATCTCTGTCCCTCTACGCCCTTGGCAAGTATCATCCAAATGAGCACGGAGCACCTCCTGTGTGCAGGCGGGGGAGTGACAGGGTACCGCTGAGCAGACAGGGTTGGAAAGGCAGGGAACACGCCCCAAAACAAACCCCAGCTGGGGGACAAGATACCGCTCTGCTGTGTACATCTAGGCACTACCCTGCCTCTCTCTGGCCATATGGGAAGTCCATATAGAAAAGAGATCAGAGCCCATCTGGTTGAGATGGGGTGGGGATTTGGGGTAGAAACCTGGGGACTTGCCTGCTCAGGCTACCCCTCTATCACCCTGCCATGGCCCTTGAGACCCTCCAAGGACCTCCTTCTATGTGCTGGGCCCGGTGCTGGGGCCAAGCAATCCCTGGGGCCCCTCCTGGTCTAAATCACAGAGGCTTGGGGGAACCAGGGTAGGCTTCCTATGGGAGGTGGCCCTGGGCCTAGCCCTTGAGGACAGATAAGGTTGCTCAGAGGCCTCGACGGGAGGGGACTCTGTCCAGCCTGGACGCCAGCTCCTCACCCCATCCTTGCCTCCAGGCCTCCTGCTGCCATGGCGCTGGCTGGCTGTGGCCGGAGAAGGGCCCGTGCTCATCATGATCCTGCTGCTCAGCTTCATGCCCAACTCCCCTCGTTTCCTGCTCTCACGGGGCAGGGACACGGAGGCCCTGAGGGCGCTGGCCTGGCTCCGTGGGGCCGACACCGACATCCGCTGGGAGTTCCAGCAGATCGAGGACAACATCCGCAGACAGGTGTGGGAGGGTCGGGGTGCAGAGCGCCCTGTGGCTGCAGCCAGCCACTAGGTCTATCTGAGCCTTGGTTGCTTTTCCTGGGGAACGGGGATAAGAGCAGCTCCCACCTCCAAGAACCGGGGGGAGGGGAGATATTGCCACACTTGACCCAGAGCACGTGCTCCGTGCTGCCAATGCCTGGGCACACAGAGACCCTTACAAGCAAAAATCTGCCTTGACCCACCCACTCATCCAAGAGCCTGGGGTTCGGGCAGGGGTCCCCCAGGCCTGTGCATGGTGTGGACTGCCTCCCGGCACAGGGTCTTTCCTAGGGGAAGAGAGGAGGGAGTCTCCTACCCAGCCCCATGCAACCCAGGGCAGGGTGGTGCCTGCTGGAGGGGCTGGCACAGCTCCCCCCCCCAGTGGCAGCTTCATGTTTCTAGAGCACCCACATGTCGTGGGCCGAGGCCCGGAACCCCCACATGTACCGACCCATCCTCATTGCCTTGCTGATGCGCTTCCTGCAGCAACTGATGGGCATCACGCCCATCCTTGTCTACCTGCAGCCCATCTTTGAAAGCACTGCCGTCCTTCTGGTGAGAGTCCAACCCCACACCACCCAGTTCTGCCCCCGGCATCTGGGAGGCCGTCCCTTACTGAGCACCTGCCCTGTGCCACGTGTCAGGGGTGCATGTGCCCTGTGGAGCCCGCCAGGATCTCCTAGCTGGTTTTGTACCATGCCCCCATTCTCAGAATAATGTTTATAAGTAAACTTATATATTTTAAAATATCCAGGATTCCAAAGGAACCCATTGTCTAGAAGTGCGGAGCCCTTGTGGGTCATGGACCCCAGGTTCAGAGCATCTGCCGCTCACTGAGGGAAGCCCCTTCCCTCCAAACCTCAGCTTCCGCCTCTGTAGATGGGAGATTAGAGGGTGTGCCTGCGCTGGCCAGTCCTGGGCTCAGAGGGAGAAGAGATTGAAAGATACTAGTGACAGCGCAGTCCCACAAGTCATTGCGGCGCCTGGATTCCAGGCTGGCCCGGGGGGGCCGGCAGGCTAGGCTGGGTGACTGGAGGAAGTGCCTGGCACATAGTGCCTGCTCAGCAGCTCAATGCTCCAAAGGAGCCATGGCCACAGCCTGGGACCGGAGCGTCCCGCGGCCCCTTGTTTGGGGACGGGTAGGACAGGAGCAGCAGGCTGGAGCCCCTCAGGCCCGGCGGCTTCCTCCCTGCAGCCCCCAAAGGATGATGCGGCCATTGTGGGGGCCGTGAGGCTCTTCTCCGTGCTGATCGCCGCCCTCACCATGGACCTGGCTGGCCGCAAGGTTCTGCTCTTCATCTCAGGTGAGCACTCGCCGCCTCCTCCCACAGCTGACGATGGTGCGCCGGCCCACGCAGGGCGCACTGTGGCTGGGAGCTCCAGGGTGGGGTGTGGGGGTCATCCCATCTGCCCTGTGGGCCCCGCCTCCCCAGTGCCCAGCACAGGGCCTGGCACATACCCGCTGCGGCAGGAAGGCCTGCAGGGGACGCAGTGTGACGGAAGCTCAAACGCAGGCAGGCAGAGCTTGCTGCTCTGCAGGAAGCATCTGGTCACCGGCCATGGCGGCCGCCTGGATGAGAACCGGCCCGCGTAGGGCGCAGGGTGCTGAGGGGCTACGCAGAGGAAGCACCTGGCTCAGAGGGTCCTGGCCCCCCCACCCCGAGGGCCACCTGTCTGTCCACAGCCACCATTATGTTTGCGGCCAACCTGACACTGGGGCTGTACGTCCACTTCGGTCCGAAGCCTCTGACTCCCAACAGCACCATGAGCACCATGGGCCTCCAGAGTGTGCCCTTGGGGGGCACAGAGCAGCCCCTGGCCACCCCCTCCAGCTACCTCACCCTCTTGCCCCTGGTGGCCACCATGCTCTTCATCATGGGTAGGTGAGCCGTGACTGCACTGGGATGAGGGCTCGGGAGGCTGATGGCCAGCCAGAGGGGGGCTGGCTTGTGCTCGGTGTGAGGGCCCTGCTAGAGCATGGGCGGGGCGCCGCTGTCCTGGTATGTCAGCGGTGTTGGCGACCCAGGGGTCTTGGCAGCTCCGTGCAGGCAGCAGAGGCCCCTCGTCCCCTCTGTTGGCAGGCTACGCCATGGGCTGGGGGCCCATCACCTGGCTCCTCATGTCAGAGATCCTGCCCCTGCAAGCCCGCGGTGTGGCCTCGGGGCTCTGCGTGCTTGTCAGCTGGCTCACGGCCTTTGCCCTCACCAAGTCCTTCCTGCTGGTGGTGGTGAGTAACTCGGGTGGGGCTTCTCGGTCAAGTCCTCAGTGTCCCACAGGTACTCCCGGGCCAGGACAAGCGAGACCAGAGGGCCTTCTCTCTGGGTGGCAGTTTGGGTCTCCCAGCAGGGTCCCCGGTGGCCAGCCCACATAGGGCGCTATCTGCCCTTCTCCCCACTCCTGGTTCAGACCCCCAGCAGGCCCTGAAGCCAACCAGAATCTCGTTCCCAGCTCCTGGGAGGGACAGTGTGACTGGGGCAGCCAGGGCCAGGGCCGCCCCTGGTGTAGCCAGCGGGTCAGGGCAGGGTTGGGGAGCACACGTAGTATGCACAGCCCCGGCAGAGAGGCGCGGATGAGCTTGGGGCAGGGCAGGGGGACGTGTGCGATGGCTCCAGATACAGGAGCTCGCTCCCACCAGGCTAGGGGATGCAGGCCTCCTGCAGGTGGGAGAGAGGTGGCTGCCTGAGCTGAGGCTGAGGCCAGAGCTCCGGGCCAGGGCGGGCCATGCTAAAGCATTTGCGTCTCATGCAGGAGGCAGTGAGGAGCCTAGGGAGACCCCTGAGCAGGGGAGTAAGGGGAAGGCCCCTCAAAGCCGGCTAACACTAGAAGGGCCCCGGGGACCCCCCCCATGTGACCAGGCATCCCCTCCATACCCCCAGAACGCCTTCGGCCTCCACGTGCCTTTCTTCTTCTTCGCTGCCATCTGCTTGGCCAGCCTGGTGTTCACTGGCTGCTGGGTGCCTGAGACCAAGGGCCGGTCACTGGAGCAGATTGAGTCCTTCTTCCGCACGGGGAGGAGGTCCTTCCTGCACTAGGTGAGGGTCCCCGCCCAGGGGGGGCCAAACCACTGGGTGCAGGGCCTCTGCGCTGGCCACGAGCCTGCATGCCGAGCCCAGAAGGCAGCAGCAATCTGTCATCAGACGGAGCACAGGAGGACCAGACAGAAGCATGGCAGGCCCCTGACAGGGCACGTTCCGGCTCTGGGCAGGCAGCACCCCTCTCCATCCTGCGCCCCAGCTCAGGCAGCCTGCCGTGTTGCACGCTCATCGGCCAAGACACACTGGCAGAGGAGGCAGCCATGGGCCACAGGGGAGCACACGGCCCGGAGGCCAGGACAAGGCCCTGCTGGCTGACCTGTGGCCTGGTTCCTTACTTAGGTGCAGAGGATGCGCCCACAGAGGGCTAGAACGAGGAGAGCACAGGGACGTCATTGTGCCATTTTGTTCTGATCCGCTTAGTCACCATGGAGCAACTTGACTACAGGGAGGAAGACAGATCTGTACTTCTAAAAGCTACGGGGAACATTCTAGACTCCCACAGGCCGGGGCCCAAGACCCAGCAGAGACACTTCCTCCTGCACCCACCCAACCTCGAAACGGGGTTCAAGTGCTCCTGTCTGCAAACCATGTTCACCCTGTCTGTAAAGATAAATCAGGCTCTCGGCCTTGGAGCGGCAGTATGGGGTCTATTGCAGGTGGGGGAGCCCACCCAGCAGCCAGGTTTGGCTAGACCCAAACTCTCAGCCAAGGATGCCAGGGCCTGCTGCCCTAGGCAAGGCCCCCTCCGGCCACCCCCGACCTGTCCACAGTAGGGCAGAGGGAAGGGGCAAGGCAGCCTGTGGGGGAGGGCCTGGCCGCAGGATGGCTCTGTCCCACAGGCTCAGCCCTCCCCAGCTGTGTGACCTCGGCAACCCACATTCGTCGTCTGAGGTGCCGTGAGCAGGAATGGGACAGGGCCAGCCGCACAGAAGGTCCTCAATAAAATGGCAGTTACTCCCAGGGCCAGTGGTCCCAGTGTGCTTGCTTACGGCACCAGGGGTGGGGGGATTGGAGGGAATAGGTAGAGTGCATTAGCGAGCATACAAACTCCCGCCAGGCTTTATTGCTCAAAATGCACGCTAAACACTGAGAAAGTGAGGGCCCCAAGACAAGAGAGTCCAGACCCGCGGAGGCAGGAATGGAACCTGGAGGCCCAGCCCCTTCTGCCACCTGGACAGATGTTCCTTGTGAGGCAGCACCCCACACTGAGGGATGGGGTCACTGCTCCAGGATTGCTTAGCCCTACTTGGTGGGAACCTCGGGTCCATCCTGGCCGGTGACTGAGGGGTTGGAGGGCACTCCCACCTCTGCGCCTGCCTCTAGCGCCCACCCGACACCCACCCGACTTCCTGACGGAGTAGAGGTGCAACCTTCCTGGACACACAGCCAGCCCCTCTCCTCCTGCAGAAGGAAGCCCCCGCCATCAAGGCCCCTGCCGCAGGGGCAGGAGGGCTGGGCAGGAGTGACCCTCGCGTCCCACTTCCTGGATAAGAATGAACCAAGAGGGGCGCTCCTCTTGGGAGGTAGACAGGTCTTACAACACACGCAGAAGACACACACACACACGCACGGCAGACACAGAAGACAAGCACACACACACGCCCCCCCGCCCGGAGAGGTCTAGAGCCCAGAGCCCTTTGAACCCAGCGCTTGTTTGAGATGGGTGGTCCCAGAGGACCCCCGAAGGCACGTGTCCCACCAGGCCAGCCACGCTGTAGTGCCCTTGCCACCCGGGGGCCCAGCCTGGTCAGGCTCCTTGGAAGGCCGCCGGGGGCCACTGCTGACCAGGAGCCCTGGGATGTGTCCCCAGGACAGTAACTGCCCCTCCTGCTGTCCAACACTAACAAGGCCCCGGGAGGAGCGCACCCTCTGGGAAGCAAGGATCTGGACACAGCCCGAGGGCTGTTTCCAACAAAGCAGGACTGGGGCTGAGCTCAGGGCCGTGAGCAGGCACTGCCAGGGTCCTGGGAGAAGGAAGAGCAGAGCTGGGCCCCAGATGGAGCCTTTTCCACACCGCCCATTTCTGCCCAGTGCCGCCTGGGCTTGGTCAGGTCCCATCAGATGGGCCTAGCAGCTGGGGGCAAGTCCGGTGAGTGGAGCCGTCAGCGGGCCGAGGCGGACCTACACGGGGACACAGGAACACCGGCCTGGAAGGAGGCCGGGGGAGACGGTGCACAGCCCAGGCAGGGCCGCCTCCTCACGCCCCCCACACAGGCTTTGTTCCCAGGTGGCCTGGGTACAGTTCATGGTGGTGGAGGCAGCTCTGGCCTCTGCCCAGCTCTCAAAGGCAAGAAACTCCCTGAAGGCAGGGTCGGGGGCAGGCCGGCAGCAATATCGGTGGGTCGAGCTTAGCCCTACTGACTGGACTTAGGCCACTGCTAACATGGCAGGACCACACCAGAGAGATGGACAAACAGCCCCATGGGGGAGGAGAGCCGGCCCTCCCCACTTCCTTAGCACCAGGGCCTTGGGGGTTGGGGAGAGAACCTGGGGGCCGGGGCCAGGGCCAGGCCCATGAGAAATATCCTGGAATGGCTTGTCCAAGCTTCCAGGGAGCTGGGGGAGGGAGCACTCCCCGGCTGTCCAGCTGCTGCCAAGGCTGCTGTGCTGGGTACTCTAGAAGCATCTCGGGAGTGCTGTGGGCTCCCACAGAGAACAGAGATGCAGGGAGGGGCCTGGGCAGCGGCAGACCATGGGCAGCAGGGCACCGCTCCCTCCCGATGACAGGTGGACAGAGGGGGCCCAGGTGGCTCAGCCTACAGCATACTTTCCTACCTGGAGAGCCAAGAGGAGGCTCCCTCTGCCCAATGCCCGGGCCCAGCATCTCTGGGGGAAGCTCCTCCCAAGCGTTCAGCAGATCCCCAATGGCTCTGCTAGCAGTGGGAGTCTGGAAATGCACACGGTGGCCTGTTTCCAGCTGAGCCAGGCCAGCTGTGCGTGGGGCCAGGCTCTGCTCTGCCTCCAGCCCTGCGGCCTGGGTCACCCCTGGGGCTGCCTGCTGTCACTGCCAGTCTCCTTCCTGCTGGCCGAGGGCCAGGAGACACCAAGCTAGAGAAAGAAGAAGACAGAAGACGACTCCAGGTGTAGGGACAGGGGTAGAGGGGCTGATGGGAGCCAGGCAAAGGCTCCTCTTCCAGGCTGTCCTTCAGGGTCAATGCTCCAGGCCTCATCCCTGCAGGGCGTGTCCACACAGAACCACAGGAGCGAGCAGGAAGCTCACATTACAGCTCCCCCTCCAGGGTGTCCGTGAGCTTCTCCTCATCCCCCTGCTGCTTCTGCTGCTGGATCCTGGCGTAGGAGATGGCATCGCCCCTGGGGAGAGAGCGAGTCAGCGTCACGGGGGGAAAGACCCCAGGCACAGAGCCCTCCCAGCCACCACCAGATTCCTGGCCTGTGACCGAGGCACGACCTGCAGGGACACCCTACTGGGCTCTGGTTTCCCCAGACACCCTGCTGCTAGGATGGCAGACATATCCCCTCTAAGAGTGGCACGGGCTGCCCGGGGTGCTGGGTGGAGAAGGATTCAGAGTTGCAGTCCGGGCTCTGAGGGCAGAGGAAGAGGCTCTCCCAAGCCACAGACCTGCCAGCCCCAGGATGGGCTGTGGCGAGGTACGGCCGGGCCGGCAGAAGTCCACGAGCCCTCACGCTCCGGTCCCCTAGAGCTGAACACCCCGAGGACGCTGACAGCGTCTGTGCCTCCGTGTCCGCAGAGGGGTAACGGGGCCCCTCCCAGACCCTCCTCCCCGAGAGACTTTCAGGAGGCAGGATGTCAAGATTCCCCCCAGGGGGCCGGGAGAGGCACACGCACTTCTTGCCCAGAGCAGAGAGTCCATACAACACCCCGGTGGCAAACGCGATGGCATTGCCCAGCAGCGTGGTCAGGGTCAGGCTGATGACGACGGGAATGATGGCCATCCTATGAGAGAGGCAGAGGTCAGGGGGTACTCCTGCCCTGCGGCGGCCTCGCCACTTCCAGGCCCCCTCCCCAGACACCAGGTGCAGGAAGGGTCCCGAGAAATCAGTCCAGACACAGGTTTACAGCCAGGCTTCAGAAAGTCCTTTGACACAAAGACACTTGTCTGCGAAATTCTGTGTATTTTCCGGGGAGAAGACGTAAAGCCTTCATCAGATCGTTGACAGGGTCTGTAGCACACAAAGGGTGAAACAGTACTGGGATAGTCTGCCCTCCCTGTCCATAAAACAGGCCGACCAGAAAATCGACCAGAAAATCACATGTCAGTCCACCCCCTAGTAGCTTTGTGACTCAGCAAGTCCTTGAACTCCTCCCGTGTTAACGACACTGCACAATGCCCGGAACAGCATCAGCACCAAATACATGGAAGCTCTTTGTTCTGCAGTAAAACCGGCCATATGTCACCACGAAAGAACCCAAAGCTTCAACGCATAAGGCATGGGGTTTCCTGCTTGCCAGGTTCCCAGCGGGAGCAGCTCCAGCTCCCTCTGCTCGCGACCTCCGTCTGGCGCCACCTGGTGGCAGGTGTCTGCTCTGGCTTGAGTAGCCATGGGGCTGACTCTAGATTCTGGCAGGGATTCCCAGACCAGGGTGGCGGCTAGGTTACCCGGGCCAGGAAGATACTGCGCCTGGAGGACCAGCACTCTGTCCTGTCGCTTCCCTGGGCCAGGCTGTCTGCCCAGAGGCCTCCCCTGCCCACACGCACCCTGCACACAAAGAAGGTAAGACTGGACCACCAGTTGAATTCCACCTGACTCTATTCAGGCAGGGCAAGTGATGTGAGGTTTTACTGTGGTCACAAAATTTCTAGGTAATAAGAGAATAACAGAAATGACCATGGGGGAAAATCTTTGGTCAAAACAAAGACACACAGGCTGGAGAAATATTTGCGGAAAATATAACAAAGGACTGAGAAATCTTCACTACAGGAAACGCAGAACTTACTAAGTAAAACATTAAGATGCCAAAAGGTAAAAAGTAAACTAGACCATTTCCAAAAAAGAAAATGCAGTTAGCAAAGCCGTCTGGAAAAACATCTCACCTCCTAGACAACGGACACAAATGTAAAATGGTGCACAACACTGGGAGGCTGGAGAGGTGGCAGAAACTCGAAAGCAAGGTAGTCATGTACTGAAGCCTTTTCAATGACTGTGATCTCTGACCTAGTAAGTGCACATCTGGAAACATATCCTAAGAAAAGCATCACAGAAAAAGCTTTGGCACATCGCAGGTTATCACGGTTTGATTTGATTTGCACCACAGTTTATAAATTAAGAAAAAGCATGATGAACACAGTGGAATATTCCCATGATTAAAAGTAACGTCATCAAGTCTTTGTGGTGATCCTGAAAATGTTTATATCACGACATGAAGTGAAAAATAGCAGGATACAAATTCACTTAGAATGGTTATAACCATGTCAGAAACAGGCTTAAAAAGCCGCTGGCAGAGTAGCAGACCAAAACTTACCAAAACGTTCCAAGCAGTGGGGCTTTAATATTTTCCAAATCATTTTTAATGAATGCATGTTACTGTTAGTATTTTTAAAATACATTTCTTAAAAATAAAGGTCATGGCAAAGGACACGATGACAGGCAGTGCTCTGTGATCCTGTATTACTCTGTGGTGGAGACCCAGTGGGAAGTGGCTCCAGAACGGAAAGAATACGTATCCGGTGCTGTCAAAACCACTGGCCTCCTCTGGGGTGCCTGGGTGGCTCAGTTGGTTGAGCGACTGCCTTCGGCTCAGGTCATGATCCTGGAGTCCCGGGATCGAGTCCCACATCGGGCTCCCTGCTCAGCAGGGAGTCTGCTTCTCCCTCTGACCCTCTTCCCTCTCGTGCTCTCTATCTCTCATTCTCTCTCTCTCAAATAAATAAAAAATCTTAAAAAAAAAAAAAAAAAAACCACTGGCCTCCACTAAACATCTCCGCTTTCATTTCAAAGATAACCTAAATCCTAGCAACTATTGCTGTTGCTACCAGAAGCTGCTGAGGGCCTCCTATGCACCAGCGCTGTTCTAGAAGCTTCTGGGTATTAGACACATCCTGAAATTAGTTCAACCTCATGACGCAGGTGGACAGGGCTGCATACGGAATCTGTTGTTAGAAGTGGGAAAATCAAAGGCAAGCATACAGGAGGGTGACCGTTCCTGTTCTGTAACCCGCCCTCATGTCGGCACCTGGACAGGCCACACTCTTGAAAGGCTGCCCACAAACACATTCTATGAACCTACCAGAATCTAGTTAACAGCTCCCAAATGATGGGCCAACACCCCAAGCACTGCTCACTTTTCTCTATCACACAGCAGGCCACAGGGCACCCGCATCCCACGTCTGAAGTGCGGAAGACTGCAGCGGTGGGCTCGCTCCCCCGCCGCGCCATCGCGGGTCACACTTCCCAACGGCCATCACCAGAGGGCTCTGCGCAAGGCTCTCCTAGCCTCACCCTCGCTGACAGTCCCCCCACGCGCCGGCCACTACCTATTGCCTGCCCTTCAGGTCCTTGAGTCTTGGGAAACCGTGTCAGAGGCCCTGGAGGGTCCCATGAGCGCACCGTCCCCGCCTGTCCCGGGGCCCCTCACCCGCAGTAGAAGACAGCCTTCTGCCAGGAGCGCAGCCGGTCCACCTTCTCCGCCACCGTGTTCGCAAACTCAATGAACTGGCAGCAGAAGGGCGCCTCGCAGAGCAACAGGATGAAAGCATTCATGCTGGAGGGCAAAAAAAGAGAGGGGCAGGCTGACAGGCCTGGGGATATGGGGGGACCCCAATGCCCAGCACCAGAATGCTTCCTCCCGCCCCCCAATGTCTCCCTCTCAGGGCCTCTGCTGAACCACTGCCCACACACCAGCCTCTCTAACCGAAATGAATGCTCTGGAGGAAGAATCTGGTCTTCCTTTTATCCCTCTGTCTTTGAAGGAGACAAAACCCCCTGCATCACGGCGCCGCCGTAAGCATGCAGTGAGTCCCTCCACACAGAGGGCAGAGTGGGCAGAGAGCCCACACTGGGCAGAGAGCCAGCTGCCACTCGGCTACTAGCATGATCACCCCTGTCATCCATGTGGCCATCAGCACTGGGAAAGCTGTCCCCAGCAGCGGCTCATCCACCAGGATGGCCAGGAGTGGGTCAGTCTGTCCACGGTCACTGAGGGCTGACCCTTGGCAAGGCCACACAGGGAGGCAGGAGCTTAGCAAGCCCTGTGGTGCAGTGTTCTCTCCCCCCTCCCCCTGCCTTCCTGTATTCGGGCTGGGGACAGCTAACCCGCGGGGACAGACTGAGGGGTCTGCTCTAGTCTTTGTGTTCTCCATGCCTGGGTCACAGTAACAGACCCCGGGGCCCTCATTACCTACGTTTGACAGAAACTCAAGCTGCGGGTGACCCAGGAGCCCACCTGAGCCCAGAGCAGGGACTCTGCACAACCCACATCCCCCCACCCCTGGCTCTCCCCAGCCTCCTGTACAGGCCCATCCTCCCAGCCCTTCCACAGCCAGGCCAGCCTGTCTCCTGACTCAGCCCACTGAAGCCTCGGCCCAGTGCCTCAACCCCCCAATCCCCCATGTGTCTCTGGGCCCCACCCCAGCAAGCCTCTGCCCTGGCCTGAGTTCTCTGGGGGCAGGGCCCCACCCTGTCCATCTCCGTGCCCCTCCCCGGCCAGGTCCCACGCGGGCACAGGCAATGCCTGGTACACGGCCACCTCTCATGTGCGCTGGGTGGCTCAGACGCGGCCAGAGCTGCACTGGCCAGTGCTCACCCCCTGCCTTCCCTTCCCACAGGAACGAGCTACCCTGGCAGGAGGCGGGCAAGGAATTCATCTAGGGCATTCTAACCACCTGATCCCGCACCAGCTCTAATCTGCCTGGTCTGTGGCTTGCCCACCTCCGAGCTGGAGCTCCAGATCCCAGCACCGGGCTCCAAACCCACCAGACACCAAGCCTCCAACTCAATCCTCGACCGGCCCTGATGGCCCCCAGAGCTCCCAGAGGCCAGGCCCGTGGTAGTGCACATGGTGCCGGCAGAGTCTGGCTCAGTGCACACTCAGGACACGTTTGTGACCCTAGGCCTAAACCCAATAAAGGCCTGGGTGGGGGTGCCCCTGGCCTGGTCCTACAGAGAATCAGGAAAACGGAACATGGCAGGGTATGAACGAGGTGAAGCCCTGCATGGCGACCCCCAGCCCCACCGGGCAAGACAGTCACGAGGCTACTCACATCATCCACACGCCGGCCGCGATGTTCAGAGGGTGGATGGTGACGCAGTTGAAGAGGCCCGAGATGGCACAAGCTTGGAAGCGAGACAGGAGCAGGAATCAGCAGGGAGGAAGGGACAGAGCCTGCCGGGAAGAACCCCCAGCAGACCCCTTCCGACACCCGACACCTGCCTCCCCCCACAGCACCTACAAGTCTCCCCTCTGCCATCTGAGACAAGGGAGACCAATGTAACTGCTCGGCATCCCGGATGAGGACGCAGGCTCAGAGAGGGGAAGCGGCTGGTACCAGGCCCCACAGCAGGGCTGTGGCTGGCTGGCTTGGAGGGCGTCTCACCCCCTGTCCAATGCACGGCTGGCCTCTGAACCCCAGCCGTACCCGTACCCACCGCAAGGTACTGAGGATGAAAAGAGAGAAGAGTCTGGAGGGCTCAGGCCAGGCAGGCGCCACCATTCGCAGGGCTGGCCACACAAGAAGCACTCTGACACAGAAAACGTGGCTTGGATTTCGGTTGGGACAAGAGCGGCCTCTCCCGGAACAGAAATCAGGACCAGGCAGCCCTGGGTGACCATGTCAGCTGTGACTTGCACACAGCCAAGGATGTTCTCATCACTGTTTTAGGCGTTTTCTCTCCCGCACACAGACAAGTGCCACAGCCCGGGCCACCCACCCCTGAAACACCAGGCCCCGATGCCCCAAATGTGGAGCCTGGCCCTGCGGTCCTGACTGCGCCCCACGGGCAGGGTGTGCCAGGCCCGCCTCTGCCTCTGCACACACCAGCTGCCTCTGGGGCCCGCTTCTCCCAGAACTCCCCATGCCAGCCAGGCACTTCCGGGGCCCTGGCTCCCAGCCCGGCACCCAGCTTGGCACCCAGCCTGGGCCCTAGCTGGGGTGGGGCTGAAAGCTGGGCCCCGAGGCAGCAATTAGCCACCAGTTCATTAAACATTAAACCTCTGTACCTGATCCCTGGCTAGGCCTGGAATTCGGTTGTTTTCCCTTGTAACCCTACGCAGGCTGCAGGCGGTGGAGGAGGAAACCAGATGAAGTGAGCCCAAACTGCAGCGGGACTGCCCTCGTGTGTCCCCCAGGTCTCCTAAAAGGACAGAGGCACATTCTGCCTACTAAAAAGGCGGCACGCCCCTTGGACTTGGCACATAGGCTTTCAGGCAGCAAGGCCCCCCAGGGCCAAGACGTGAGTGCCCGCAACACAGTGCTGCTTCTGCCCGGCTCTTGGCTGTGCCTGGGCTCCCCTGACAGCAGTCTACACCTGCGGCAGCCAGCATTTCGCCTCCACCTCCGGCCCTCCCCACACTGTCCTACCAACAGCCAACCTTGGGGGAGAACCAGGTTTCAACCCAAACAGAAAGGCTCCAGCCAGCAGCCCTGTAACAATCAAGGCTGGAAGATGCCCCTGGAGTTTCCAGTGTTCTTGCTAAGTGAGGAAGGCCTCTACATGACTGTCAGGACCCTAAATAAATGCCTCTCCAAGGCCCCCACTGGCCAGGAGGGCAACCCTACCCTGAAGTGACCGACCAGAAGCACAACCCTTATCTGAATTCCTGTTTCATCCCTGAGCCTTTTTTTTTTTAAGATTTTATTTCTAAGTAATGTCTACACCCAACGTGGGGCTTGACCTCACAACCCCAACAGCAAGAGTTGCACACGCCACCAACTGCGCCAGCCAGGCGCCCCTCATCCCAAAAACTCTTGTGTGCTTTGCGCCCTCCCCTGTGGTATACTACTTGGTGTCTGCATAACAATCCCCTCCCACCAGTCTTTAGGTGAAACTGACATTTCAGGGCGATGCCACAAGCTTCTCCTGGTGCTTCATCTGTAGCCCCAACACCATTAAGTCCTGGGGCGGCCCAGGTACCCCACTATGAGAGACACAGAACTGCATGGGATACCAGGGTGCACCAGGGAGGCAGCAGGGCTGCTGAATCCAAGAGAGTGGGAAGGTGACAGCCCACAGGCCACCGTCAGAACCTTTCCTTTCTCTCCCACTGACCACTGTCACTCGCTGCAGGACCCCCACTCTGATCTGCAAGGAAAACAGCTAACCAAACTTGAGAGGATCTTATCGAAGGCCTGACCTCGAGTCAGCAGTCTCTCCAGAGTCAAAAACATGCTTGCTCCAACAGCAGTGACGCAGTGGGACAGGGCAGTGAGATGGGACTCAGGGGCACGTCCCATTACCACCTCTGGATAAGGGCGTGCCCTGCCTGAGCCCCAAGCCCCCACCCCTGCACTCCTGAACGTCCTTCCAGCATCCACCCACCCGGCAGGACTGTGGGGCTGGAAGGCGATTCTGAAAGGTGTTCCTTCTGGCAGACTTGATCAGGATCTGCCCTGCCCCAGCCCTCTGTGCCAGGCGGGCACTAGTTCGAGTCCAGGGGAGGTGCCCTCTCCTCCAGCAATTCCCAAAGTGGAGGGCCGCAGGCAGAGGAGAGGAGAGGAGAGCAGACCAAACAAACTAGACGCGTATCTGCCTTCCGAAGACCTGCCATACGATCTTTATTTTACTTCTGTAGCAGGTCTGTCTCCTGTTCATGTTCTTTCGGGGGTGTGTCAGGATGTGTGTCGGCGATGGCGCTGGGGCGGAACGAGGAGGGGAGAGGAGAGGCGGCTGAGGCAGAGCGGCCAGCCAAGGGAACGCGCTGGCCTCTGGATGGACAGTGAGGACCCAGATGCGAGGCCGCGTCCCCTCGGCTCAATGCCCGGCCCTCCCTTGGGGACTGCTTGTCCCCTGGCACCATCCGCCCCACGTATCAATAACCTTCGCCCAAAAATTAAGACGGCTGGCGCCCCCACCCACGCCCAAGTCACCAGGGGAGGCTGCCTCCGGGCCGGGCTGAGCGGGCGCCCGGCGAGCGGCATCTGGGAAGTCTCGGAAAGCCCCCCCCGCCCCGCCGCCGACACAAAGGCCGCGCTGTCCTCGTGCTCGGACGCGGCGGGGGGCAGCGACTTGGCCGCAGGAGCTCACTTTCCCTCCTGGAACTTCCCGGGAGCCGCCCGGCCGCTCGGCCGGTAACCATAGCAACCGCCAGGCGTCAGCTCCGCGCGCGCCCCGCAGAGCCCCATCACGCCCACCCAGACCCTCCCCGCGGGGGCGCGCCAGAGGGGCGGGGCCGGACACGCATGCGCGGTGGGCGGTGGGGCCGGCCCCTCCCCCGGGCCGGGTACTCACAGACGGCCCCCAGCACCCCCGACAGGCGACACAGCCAGCGGTACCACCACGTCATGCCCTCGTCCTGCGCGGGCGGCGCGGAGCTGACGGCCGCCGCCGCCGCCCCGCCCGAGCCGCTCATGGTGTCGCCGTCTGGCGCAGCCCGCCGCCCTCACAAAGGGCTCCGGAGCCGGCCGCGTCGTCCCGGCGCGCTGCCTTGTGGGAGAGGCGGCCGCTCATTAGCATAAGGGGCGGGGCTCGCAGGGCGGTGGCGAGGTGCTCCCGAGAGCTCGCGCTCATTAGCATAGGAGGCGGGCGCGCGGTGGCCCTGGCGCTCTCGGTGGGCAGATCCTCCCAGCGGTCTAGCGCAGGGGCGGGGCTTCGCAGACAATTAACAGGGGCGCCAGGGTTGGCACCCATTCTTGACTCCGCAGTCCCTCGCCCCTCCTCCCTGGGTAGCAAAAAGGAAGACCACTAGGGGTGGCGTGGGGCTTGCTCAGGTCAGGAATGGGTCCGGAGCCTGACCGCTGCCAGGGAATCCCGACAATGCCATGGGGTGGGTTTTCAAGCCAGATTGGACAGGTTATGTGAAGAAAACGCTACTCAGACTGCACATTCCGTTTATTGGTACAGAGGCTGGAGACTGCCTTTCGAGAGAGTCCAGTCCCTACTTTCCACCGCCTGCCTTTTGCATGTTGTAGGAGGTCCTAAAGGAGATACTTAAAATTGGAGGGAATCCAAACTGGAAAGCACTCAGAGACCAGAGTCAACCCTCTGCGGCTCGCCGGGCACCTAACAGGTGCTCATAAATGTCAGGCTCCTTTTCTCTTCCAGGATCTGGAGGAGGCATCCCACTGTGTCCACAGGTCCCTGGAGGTATGTGCTTGGAGAAAAAGCTAGGGCACGGCCCAGCCAGGCTCCTGAACTCTAGATTGGAGGGTCCAGTACTGGCCCCGTAGGCTGGCATGGGCCTCCAGGAAGCCCTGGCTAAACTCCATCTCAGCCTGGCTTCCCTCTGACTCCCAGTAGAGTACCTGCTGCCCGTGAAATGTCATCGTCTTCAGGCTGTGGATATCCCGGATCTGAGGGGAAAGGGGCAGCCCCAAAGGGCCAGCCACAAATGATAACTAGCTAGCATTCATGAAGCCTTTAATATACAAGGCATCATACACTCAGGCTCACATTTAATCTTCACGCAACAGCCCTATCAAGAAGACACTATTATTCTACCCAGGAAACTGAGGTTCAGAGATGTTGTCCTACTTCCCCAAGGACACACAGCCAGGGTGCCAGAGCTGGGATTCCAGAAGCCAGGCTGCCTCCAGTAGGGGAGCTGACACCTTGCAGAGGACAGTTCTCCCAGAACACATGAACCTTGTCAGGGGAGGGGTGGCCCACTCTTCTGGAAAAGTTTTATCAGGGTTTAAAATTATGCTTCAGTCCTGGGTTAACTGACAGTCTACATCAGAAACGGTCTTTTCTATTTCACTCTTGTGCAGAGCTCAATAAACATTTGTTGGTGGTAGTGGAAGAAATTCTTCTCTCCCATTCTTTCACTAACGATTTTGAGGTTTTTGAGCAAACTCGGGGGGGTCCTCTAGTATAGTACCCCCGGTCCCCATCCCTGGGGACAGCTGTCTAGAATCAGCAAAAGTCAGCACATTCCTGTCCCCATCCTGGTGGCCTTACCGAGATGTAGCTGGCACCAGTTCCCGTGCCCACATCAGTGGCCAGGGCATGGATGGCAATCCGGGCCTGTGGGGCCACATTAATGAAGATACGGCAGCCCCCCGAGTTGCTCCCATCAGGACTCATCGAGGGGCTCACGATTTCACCCCAGGGTCCAAAGAGCTGCATGTCACAGTCTGCAGAGAAGAGTAGGTGGATGGACTGGGTGTGGACCACCTCAGGTCCTAGGAGCCCCCAGAATGACCACTAATGCCAGAGGCCAGGGCAGCTCACAGCTGGGGAGCAGTGAAGGGGGGAAATATGGTGTTGTGGTCGAGATCAGGCCTCCCACACAGAAGCCGTCACGGAACCCCACCTCTACCACTCTCTGCCGTGTGACCCTAGGCGAAGGCTTTCAGTGCTCTGCGCTCCAGGTCCCCCCTCTGTAGAGTGAAGGTAACAATGGCATGCCCTGGGAGAGTGGTTTTTAGGAGGACTTTGCATGTGCAAAAGTGCTTAACACTGAACCTGTTACAAAGGCCACTGCCATTACTAGGAGCTTACGGGAACCCCGCCTGCCTGCACCCCTGGGCCCCCAGGGAACAAGAGCCTATGTGCATGAGGCCAGGAAGTGAGGAGCTGTGAGAAGGGGCGGCCAGCCCCTTGGGCACTCAAAGCCTGGCTCTCAGTGAGGGCACTGAGAGGTGCGGGGACAGCATCACATCTCTGTAGAGGCAAAGCCAGGGGGTTCCCAGAAACCTCTGAACTGGCTAGGGAAGTCGTGTTCGGCCAGCCTGGGCTGTTGGGAGAGGCCAAGTCCCCGGAGGCCTCCTGAGGGCTACTGGAGGACATTAGGGGGGCCATGGGATGCCATCCCCTCCAGGAGGTTGTGTGTGTGCACACATGTACAAGCATGCGTGCACACACCAGCTCTGTGGGGGCTGAGCCAAGAGGACGGTGCACCAGAACAGGGCTGGGTGGGGGGGGAGATGCACACGGAGGACCCTGAAGGGTCTTGGAGGACATGAGTGCCAGGGCCAGGGCGGGGGGCCATGGTGGCGGCCTGAGCAACAGGGTGAGGACGTCAGAGTCCCACGTCTACCCGTGTCGCTGCAAGGCCCCGGCAAGGAAGAGACGCAACACACATGACAGGACCTCATCCTGGGGTCAGGGAGCTGGCTGGCGGGGTCCTCCTCCATCTTTGTCGGTGTCCTCTCTGCCCGGCCAGCCACACCGTGGGCAGCAGCACCCACCCAGCCACCCTGCAGGGATTGGGGGGAGGCTCTGGCGCCCCACCTTACCTCTGTGGGGGGTTCCCGGGGCAGGCTGGCTCCCGTACTGCAGCACAACCCCGCCTTCCGGATGCACACGGCGCTGCCTCACCACCAGCGTGTTCGTTTTGGAGCTGAAAGTCATGCCAGACAGCTTCCCGCATGTCTTCCTCCACGTGAGCCTGTCCCAAAGCAGCAACATGTCCCCTAGGAAGCAGCACGGCAGTGAGGGTTGGCAGCACTGTGGGCCTGGGGTAGACTGAGCTGCGGGTGGGGTCCCCCCATGTCCCGGCTTATGTGACTCTAAGTCCCCAGACACAACCTCAGTTTCCTCATCAGGAGAATGGGGACCATCCCACGGCTGTCCACGGGATGGCCATGAGGATTCCAGGTGGGGCTGCATGTAGCACATCCTGCCAGGAGCAGGGCAGGCTGGGGTCGTGCTCCCTGGTGCCTGGCGGCCTGACAGCAGTTGTGCACACGGCCTGAGACGTACCAGCACTGCAGCTGAGGGAGCTCTCGAGGACGTGAAGGGTCACCACCTCACCCAGGGGCCGCCCGATGGCCACCGCACAGTCAGTCTGCCCTGGGCCTCGCATGTCAATGGTTCCTGTTGGCTCAAGGTGCTGCCGGCCGCAGGCACCTGGAAAGCAGGAGCACCGGTGACCAGAGCTTCGGGGCGGGGCCGGGAGTTTCCAAGCTGGGAGGAGCCTGGCAGGTGGGGTGGCTGGCATCCTCCTAGGCCCCGCCAGAAGCAGGCTTAGGTCGGGGGGGGGGGGGGGGGAGGGAGCTGCATGGGTCCCGGTGTCTCCATCCAGGGCCCAGAGCCGCTTCCGGACACTCAGGTAAGAGGGAGGCAGCATATACAGCAGGGCATGGCTTTGAGTCCCACAGATCTGGGGCCGGCTCTAAAACCTCACGTTCCCTTTCCCTTGATGATAATAAAAATGAGCCTACGCTCTGTCAGCGGAAGCAAAGTGAAAGAAGAGGGCCAGGCCAGAGCACCACCTCCCAAGCCCATCCCTTCAGTCCAGCCGCACGCCTCCCAGCGATCCAAGGCTGCTCCACTGCACCATCCCAGGGGGTCCTCCCAAGGAGCTGGTCCCAGCTCTCCCAGTGGGAAGCCTTTGCCCACCCCTCCTGCAGCCAGCCAGCTGCCCAGACAGAAAGGTTGAAGAACATAACTGGACTCAGCGGGGCTCTCCTGGGGCCCAGGCAGAAGCCCCTGAAGCCGGGGGGCTGGGGAGAGGAGGTGGGCCCGGCGCTGGGGCCACTCCAGAGGAGCACCAGCAGTGGCATGCTCTGGAGCAGTGGCTTCGTCACGGGGCGTCGGACTGGGAGTCCCCTGCCCGGCACAGGGCCCGGCCCAGCAGCCCCGCACCGTGGCTGGCTGGGGCAAATGCCGGCAGAAGGTGGCCGGCACGGGTGCCTGGGCTTGGGGTCCAAGGCAGGCGTGATGCCGGCGCTGGATGCCATCTCCGCAGGAGACAGAGCACTGCCAGGAAAGAGGAGAGCGAGCTGAGGCTGACCTTGCCAGAGGGCGGCGGGGGCAACAGTGACCACTGGCCATGCACGATGTGATCTAATCTTTGCACAGCCCAGGAGGGGAGCCCGTGTCTCCATTCCACAGATGAGGAGACCGAGGCTCAGCAGCCGGCACACACCCTACCGGCCTGCCCTGCACTGCCCTCCTCCAAGCACCTGTCTCTACCCAACCCAGATGCCCAGAGCCCTCTGATCGATGCTGGCGGCGGCAGTCTGCTTTGCCTCTTCTCCCCTCCACACCATGAGTGAGCGGGAGACCTAACCCTATTTACCTTTGTCTTTCTAGGACCTTGCAAGGTACGAGGCACGGGACGGCCCCAGAAAGGCAAAGGTGTGGGACAGAGCTACCTTCCCCTTTATCTCCTGGTGTCTCCAGACCTCGGTCCAGACCTGCCCCTCAGGTCTCGGGGCCCTGCTGTGTCTTCCATCTCTAGGTGCCCCAACCACCTCCTCCCACCCCACTCTCCCCCTCCTTTCAGGGGATCACAATGAATCAAAGCCCCAAGGGTCCCTGTGGGGGAGGACCCTCAGCGGACCCACGCTCCAGCCGCAGCCCCAGCCCCAGCACTTACCTGCGTCCAGGTGCTGACATGCCACCGGTAGGTGCAGTCGGTGATGATGCAGGGGATGCTGGTCTGAGGCCGGACCAGAGCCGCACAGGCTGCCCCATCCACCTCCACGTCCTGGCCTTGGCTGAGCTGCACACAGGCCACGGAGC